GGAACTCAGCTCGAGCTAAACGCATCCAGATGTGTCAGAGCAGGACAGGAACGTACACAGGGGCTCGCATACATCCGTAAATACACAGACATGGAGGAATGAGTATGGGGACAAGGTAGCTGAGCAGCTGAGACTGCAGAGTAATGCTGAGCCATAAGCATGAAGGGCACGCTGTGGTCCCGGCCAAACTAGTCACCCTGATTCACAAGCAGAAGCAAGGTGGGCAGACAGTCATTTAACTGTCCCGATGCATTAGTATCATATGAGCAACATGTACTCCATCACTGAAGCACAGTTTGATCAACTAAAACATGCAAAGCCCCCAAACCTGAGTGCAAATACGCAGACGTTTTCATTGTTCTGTCTACGAGGCATTATGTAACATCTGAGATTTCCTGATGAGCGTTTATTGTTGCCTCAGAAACTAAAAGAAAAAAAAAGTACCCACTCATTTCTCAATGCAGTGTAACAGGCCTAATCTAATGCATCCAAGTGATTCTGCAAATAGTTTATAAAGGAAAGCGGCATGGACAGACGTCACATTGACAGCCTGCACCAGATGCTGGCCAGTTGGCTGGCCCCCCAATCCTCTGAGATACGAGAAACCACGTCTACAGTAAAGACAGCGATGATGGGATTAGCTGTAAGTAATGCAACGCATCCAAATAGGTTATTTTACACAACGCTGTCAACTCGGCTGACATTAAATAATTGAGGTGCTGCTGGCCTGAAGAAGACAACATTACATTGTGAGTGTAGTGTTGAGTGGTACCAAGCTGTAAGCCAGTAATTGGTAACTGAGACAAAGTGCCAGTTGTGAAAATGTGGCTTCATGGTTATATGTACATAAACACACACACCTTATTTCCAGGAAGACGAACATGTTCACAAAGGGAGCTAAGGTTTCAGAGCCGCAGGGCTGGGAGCTAAGAAACCAGTTTTTTGGGGTTTTTTATTTTTTAAATATACTGAATGAACAGCTACACAATGTCCGTGTTCTTCCTTGATTACAGAAGAGGTTTTGGCCTTCTATCCCAAGGAAAATCACCAGGCATGTTATATATATATATATATATATATATATATATATATATATATATATTTTTTTTTTTTTAAAAAGAAGTTTGACTTTATGTGGTTTTATTTTACTCACAATCAATGTGACAAAAAAACAAAACAAAACAAAAAACAGGAAAATGCACAGATGACTTAGGAAAACACCGACTTACTGCAAACCAATTACATTGCATACACCTGTAGTCGCCCTCCAGAGGCCAATTTTGAGCCAGATAAATTAAAAGTTTTATATTGCATTTTTTCTTAGCAGGTATCACCATGAACAAAAAAATACAGAATTTTCCTCTGCTTTGAAAATGAAAAACTTGTCATGTGTAATGTCTTCAAATTACCAGCTGTATATTTTAGGGGCTTTTCCAAGATCAAAATTTGTCTTTGGCCGGTGAGCATAAGCATGTTTAGAGTCCACACTAGGCCTAACGATTGCTCCAGCTAAGTGATATCAGTCTACTCTCACATTTTACACCAAACTAGTGCAGACCCACACTACTTTGTGGGGGTGTAATTCCTCTTACTTCGGTTGTTTGCCTGTCTGGCTAATGGTGGGTGGCTGCATAGCACCTTAGAGCCAGCAGCTAACTGGTGTTGGACATTAATAAAACACTAATATTCAGTGTAAACCCACTATTATGTGCATTGCTGACTACAAATATATAACAGTATTTAAACACCTGTTTACTGTGAAGTTACAGCCACTCATCTGCATTCAAGAGAGGCACTTCTGTCTGTCAGGGAAGAAGCTAACTACTATCAATTAAAACAAATAGTTTAACCAACTAGCATTTTGAATAGTGAGAGCAGCAACCCTTAGTCATGTAGTCCACTGGTTTGTGCACGCACAAATGGCAAAACCAAAACTTCAAGGCACACCTGTACTCTTATCTGCTGTTCATTCTTTTTTGATATTGTAATGCGGCTTCTGACAGCCCAACCTGTACCTCAACTCCATCCCTGCTTCTGATACTTTAACCCAACCCAACTGTCTTGTGCCTTCTGGTTCAAATTCAACACTCTTTAACTGGCAGATATTTCGTTTCCAAATGCCTCGTCAGCTAGCTTGACATCATGGTGGCATTAACCAACACCTCACTACAGATGCCACACGTCAGTTGAGCCCTGTTGATATCCCCTCTCACTAAAGTCGCAAGACAGGTAGCTTTCATGTACTGATGCAACAAATGAATTAATACTTAATTGTTGTATATCACAGCAACATATGGTTGTCACAAATCCTGTAGCACACTCATACTTACCTAGAGCACACTACTTGGGAACCACAGGTGTTAACGTTTCTTGAGTTCAATTAATCTATTTATATTTCCACAATCTGTTAAATAATCATGATTTATCTAAAAGAACTGAAATTTGAATGTTTATCTATAATCAATCCAAGGTGAAACCAATTCTTTGTTAAGTTGAAACTTGATAAAATTTCAAGTAATTCAGGCTAAGAGCACTCTGCTGCCCTCAAACACAAAGCTTAACTAGTTGCTCTCAGGTTAAGGTCACATACATGAGTGGAAAAACGACACTTGTTTGCTTAACACATCTCCTGACCTGTAGGCCCTAAGCTTGCTTCAGTAGGGTTAACATTGTTAGCCAATGATTGATTAGTGATCTTCTCTGAGCAAAACAACATTTAGAAACGGTCATACACTCACAAGTTCTGATGCGTCATTTACCATACAGGTTAAAATCCAGCGTTTCACAGAGTGGAGGGGAAAAAAAACTGTAAATACGTGTACAGTTTTCCACAGAGACGTGCTTGAATTCACTGAAGAGTTAGTGCTTGTTAAGAGTGACTAAGGCTCCAAGAAGCCGTTGCTGCTTCACAATAAAAGCCTTGTGATGGCTGGTGGCTGGAAAGCTTTCATGGTAAAGCAGCAACAAGACATATCATGTTGGCTATAACAGAAGATTAACTGAAGCAGATGAAGAAAAGATGAAGCCACTGTTGGGAATTTCAGCTGATTATTACATGATGATTGGTCCCCTTTAGAGAAAGAAATCACTGAATGTAATGAGCTCAGTATGAGTCATTTATATCATGTCTAAAGAGCTAACTGAGCCCAACATGTAAACTCAAATAATACCTCGAAGTACTTCAGGTGCTTGGTGAAAAGTGCTTTTGATCATCATTACTTGGGGAAATTCAAGAGATGCCTACATTATAATGGGCTGAGTTAGAGCTAAAAGAAAGGGTTAAGTTGATCCACCAATTTGCCTTGACGGCCTCTAATTAAACCAACCTTTCCATACTGTTTCCTCTGCCTGGCATTTTCACTGACAAGATGCAACTCTCAGCTATGAGTTCACAAATAATACAGCCATCTAAAATGTCACAACTTCCCATTTCTATCACCATGACCCTGATGACCTCCTGGCAAACCGTATCCACTACTGAAAACAAAGGAGACTGAATTAAAAAACAACAACAAAAAAACAAAACCCTGTCGTAGTATTTTTAAGAACATAACTTTGGGAACCCCCTGCAGACATGACAGCTTTCACTTTCATTACAAACATGCAACTCTGAACTGCCATATTCACCCTTATTACCTAAATGACTACTACTAGTACTACTACTGTATACAGGCATTTTAAAAGGCATTAGAGAACTTCTTATCCTGGGTTTTAACATATCTTATTTAATTTTCAATTTTGCTTAATGTTACTTTCCCCAATTTTCTACCTTATTTTTTTAACACTTTTATTTGTCTTGTTTTATTTTCTCTGGCATTCTATTTTATTTGATCTACATTTTTAGTTATTCTCTCTATAGTTGAATCAATTATTTTATTTACATTTATTTTCCCCTTTAATTTTTTAACTTATGTTTTATTTATCTTGCGTATCATATTTATTTAGTTTTCTTAATTGGTTTGCTTCTTTTCGTGTTTGAACAAGACAGAAATTGTATAAAGTATAACTTAATCAACATATTCTCACCCCCATTGAGCTCCACAGAAAACATTCAAAAACCATTTGCTCGAAAACTGAACCCCTCAGTCATGTATGCTAAGGACACAAGTTTCTTGTTACGTTATGGAGTTATTTAGGTCAAAGGTCTAAAGTCAACACTGGAAAGGATAATAAAAATCAGTGATCTTAACTGCTTTGTTAATAATCTACCCAATCTTCAACAGGCCAGTAACTCCATTAATGCTGCTAACACCACCTGCTCTACCCCCCCCACACACACACACTTTTCCCCAAATCTAATGACACAGAAACACGTTCTCTGATGTGAACTTCCCATGAAGTACATGCACAGGCCACCCTCCTGGCTGAGGGAAACCTGACGTCACAACAGGCAGCATGTTAAAATATAAAACTCACACCTTCTGCAAAAACCACCACCACCCCTGCAGTTCTACGTTCCTACTAGGTTTCAGTTTTAAACCAAAACAGTGACGTGCTCTGTGGGTGCTCACTTTTTCGCCCTGCAAATAAATACAACGCTTGATTTCAGCTCAGGCCCTCTCAGGAGGCAGCAAGTCCATTCGAGCCGGTTCGTTCTCCACAGGATAGCACCCACACAACTACACACGCTCTCTCTCTGGGTGAATCGTACCTCTTACCCCTTCCTGGGGTTTTACCCAACAACTACTGAGGCAGGCTATGTGGTTACAATTGTCACTAGCACCTGGAATGGCATAACAGAAAAACTGCAGCAAGAAACTTTCCCTGGAAATATAGGGACTGAACAACTCCCAGCACCATGAAATGTCAGAGTACTGTGGCGTTACCAAACAGTGCAGCCAAATTTTGAATGAATCCTTCTGTGGAGCTTCTGTATAAAACCTTTTTCCAACATAAGACTTCTTTCCCTCAGTGTTCACCTCCAGTCTTTGAAGGCTCTAACCAGCTGTGTGCTTGTGTACAAACTCCCTAATAGCCTGACGTTTCAGAGGGTGACTTACATTTTGACATGCCGCTGCTCAATGTCCACTCGGGACAGCTCCTCCTCCTCCAGGTCAGAGTCCCCTCCAGAGCTACTCTCTGTTACATCAGAGTCAAAGGCGCTTTCTGCTGAATGAAGGTTGGCTGAGCCACTCAAATACAACCTCTCCAGCTCCAAGGGCATCGAGCCACTTTTCAGGAAACGACTCAGACCGTCCCGGTTGTTTGACGAGTGGCGCCCGGTCCTCCATGAAGCTGTGGGGGTTGCAGTCTCTGATTTCCGGTTGCTGCCTAGTAGCCGATTCAAGGCCGTGTCCAAGAAGCCACCCAGCTGCTGCTGAATGTGCCGCTCAACCTGCTTTGCCTGTACCACCTGAAGACGTTTGTGCAAACGTCGCAGTCGGCTCTCGAGCTCAGCCTGGCGGCTGCTATTGATGAGAGTGCGTTCTCTTACATGAACGTCGAGGCTATCTGAGGAGGAACTGCAGGGTATGGGAGGTGCAGGCGTACATGGCGGTGAGCCCTGCTGACTGCTGCCTGGCCGCTCTCCATCAAAACCCTGTGGCTGACTCGTAGGCGTATCTGGATCTGCTTCCTCCAAATTCGCCTGTTCAACTGGGTTAGGGTTGCCGCTGGTAAAGGGAGAAAGTGCAGCTGACTGAAGCACTGGTGGTTCGACATTTTGTCCATCTGTGTTTTGAGAAACCCCAGAGGAATGCCTCCGTTTGAGAGCTCCTTTCAAAGGGATGTGCCCTGTTAAGGTCGCCGTCAAGGTCTCAGAGTCAAAGGGCAGGTTCTGGGGCTGAGAGTCGGTGGCGGCGGGAGGCTTGTCGCCATTCACCGCGACCACACAGCCAGAGCTGGACATGGTGGCCAGCTTCTTGGCCAGGCCGTTGACGGGTGCCATGGGCTGGCCGCTTCCGTTGGTGCCGCCACTCATGAGACTTTTGAGCTGGCCGCCCGACAGTTCAATCGCCTGCCTCTTCCTGAGGAAGTCTCCGCTGCCGTTGAGCAGAGAGTTGGGCAGTATTCTGTGGCTTTTCAGCACAGACTGTTTAATGAGGACTCCTTGCAGCTTAATTGACTCCTTAGTTGAAGGGACAGGTGTCACATCCGGGTAAAGATAAGAAGCCACAAGTGGCTGGAGTTTGCCCAGGGCAGAGGCCTGGGACACAGAGTCAGATTGGGCCTGTGGCTGCTGCTGTTCCTGGTTACCGCCTCCGCCACAATAGTCGAGGGGACACTCTTCGGAGGTGGCCTTGCACTTGGCGGGGCCGCTGCTGTGGATGAGGATGTTGCTGGCGTTACCGTTGTTCTCTGCACTGGCTGGTGAGAGACTCGAGGATGGGGCAGCCAGTTTGAAGCGGATGTGGTGAGCTTCGGCTGGGGCGTCGGTGAGAGCGGGCGCCATCGCAGCCATGCAGTGCAGAGGGACGGGCACCGCGGCCTGCTCCACTCCACCCGCTTACTGCCCCACCTGAGGACAGCCTGCAGGGACAAAAAAAACCACAGAAAAGAAATAAAAGTTAAGACTCACCTTATGACCAAAAACCACCCATCATCAAATTCTGATACTATTTCACATGAGGGAGTTGTGTGGTAAATTTCCCATCAGCGCTTAAGAGATAACATTAGTAACCTTATACAGGGATGTGCCTCATAACAAGGTGTAAACAAACATACAGATACTACCTATGTTCATTTAAAACTGAAACCAGCAGCTCCATAAGTGTCATTTATATTCATTCATTCAAAATTACTCAGGTGAGGGAACCATAAGACCTGTTCTTGAAATATGAGAAACCATATTTGATGCAATAAATGCAGTATTTTAGTGACTGTGTTCAGCAACCAAGTATACACAAAAATATGTTTTATTCAAACCACTGCTTGCACAGTGAAATTTCTGTTGTCCACACTTCTTCTTCTATTATGATTATTATTATTGTTATAATAATGATATGAATACAATAATATTATTATTGCAACAATATAACAATAAAAACAACAGTAAGAAGAAGAAGAGGGAGAAAAAGACAAACAGTAATATTTTAAATACTAAGACTTTTGTATTCTTTTTTTTATTACAAAATTACTACAACTGTGTCATACATCAGCCATGATACATCATATATCCAGGGATCATCATACCAGCATAAATTTGTATGGTGACATAATAATGTCATCACAATATCATTACTGTAAAACAATATGCTTTTATGTGCAACAAGCCCAGGCATGTCTGAGAGCGATGAAGATTTGGTGCCTAAAAGGGAAATATTTCAACAATCTCCAATAAAGTGCGGTACCTTACAAAAAAAAACGTACAAGAAAATTGTTCTACTCTAAAGGTGGAAACAAACGTGTGTCACCACTTCAGGAAAAAATTATAATTAAAATAAATAAACTTTAAAAACAAAAACAAAGAAGGCTATGGAGGAGGGGATACTAGTAGCTCCCAAATGTAAACAAGGGTGGATGGAAATTACTGATCCGGTTACATAGTAGTGAAGGAGGACTTTCAGCAACTGATTAAAAAAGCTCAACCAAAGTTACAAGTTATTAAATATTTTTCAGTTTCATTATGTGATAATATTGTGCAGCTACTGAACTGTTACAGGGTTAAGTTGGTTTAGCTATTGTTAAACAGAAATTTTATACTTAAAATGTCCTGGGGAAAAAGCAAACAAGGCCACATTTGTCTTTTGCTGTGTCACTGGATATAATGCTGTGTCACTACTACACTATTGCTGCTGTTGACACTTTATTTCAATAGATTCACACTTCAAATTAGCAATTTCTCATCAATGATATTAGCTCATTAGAAAAGGAGGATGGGCCATGCCCTTCATTTACGTGTACCCACAAGCTTCAAGAATCAAACATGAATAAAGAATTCAGTATTTTCAAGATTATCAAGATTTAATGCTGAGGTTATATCAACCACCCCTAATATGTACAATGGTTTTCTTCACAAGATAGTTAGAAATACTGGGAGAATTTGTATTTGTTTGTTTTTTTGTCAAACAAGGCAACAGGAAAAAGCAGGAACTCCTTGTGTTTACTGTACACCGACTAATCTTGCTGATGTTGGTAGTGTCCCACCCCCTCACCCAGCCCCTCTGTTAGCCAGGAAAAATCCATGTTTCATCCATATACTTAAAATATATTCTCCATAATAATTGTATATCATGATGGGAAAAACATGAATGCAGACTGTGCCTGTATACAACAAAACATTAAACAGAAATACTTGCTGTACAGGTTCTGTAAGACTGTACAATGAGTGGAAAATTACTACCACCACCCCAAAAGAAAGTTTCTTGCCTTAAATGTTTATTAAAATATGTTCAATATAAATGTACTAATACTAATGGAAACTCCATGACATTGACTCTTTGACATGCTGCTGACCTGTGAACTGCTAAAGAATAAAACACAAGCAAAGTTGAAGGGTAAGAAAATCCCGGGCAAAAGTGTTTTCAGTCTCTTAAAATACAATCGTTCACTCCAGAACCATTCTTTGGCTGTCACTGAAATCAACAATAATTTGTCAACAGAGGGACCCACAACATCTGGTAAGTACAAAGAAATTAAAATGCACACACTGACCTTGGGGCTGGTGATGCTAAAGACAAAGATGGAATAAACAGACAACTGAGCTAAATCCCAGGCTAATAAATTATTATTCCCACTCCACCCATGCCTGTGTGAACAAGCCCTCATTGTCTTTAACTTAACAAAGCTGCTCTTTAAAGAATACGCTTTGGAAGACATCTTTTTATGAGAGAGGAACAGGAAAAGCCAATGCAAATTACCCCAAACCCCACTGCCCTACATGTGCCCTGGTAAGTCAGTATGCAGCAGGGTTTCTTACAGTAAGTAGGTGGATTTAGGCCCCAGCATTAGCCCAAAGCACATGATGTCATCCTGACTGGATTCTTGTTTAATTTTCAGCTATTACACCTTTCCCTAAATTATTATCCAATTACATCTGTCAGTAAATTATTCAAATTTAAAGAAAACCTTAAGGACGTCAAACGTGCCAAGTATCTCTTGTATCTATGTTAAACTTTTAGATAAAAAGCCTCCCTTCTCACAATTCAGCAGATAAAAAGCGAGCTGCATGTACGCTGTAGCGTCTGCAGGGCGAGATGAATGGAGGCGGCTCTCAGTATTTTCACCGCAGTTTCTAGTCAGCGCGCACTACGCCATGTTGGTATTTCCGAAGCAGATTATGCAATGCAATTCATCCACCTTAAAAAAAAAAACAAAAAAAAAACGCCCATTCCGCTTTAAACACACTGAGCGAGTTCATGCAACACGCTGAGCATAGAACGGGGGGTAATTTAAATAACCAACCCTACGGACCGACTGCACCATTAGTGAGCCTCTGTAGAGATGCGACAAAAATAATATCCACATCCAACGTTTAGCAAAGCATAACGCAATCACCAAAATGTCTTCCTGATGTTTACAAAAGCGTTTTGAGAGCACACGGCTATAATAGTCTATTCATAGCCTTGAAGCCACCGAAGAGCAGAGCGATTGTAGCATCGAGACGTGGCTGAATATCTTAAGAAAACATACACGCGAGCAGGAGATCACGCAGCAGGGAAACTCGGCAGATAAATATCTCCTCCGTGGAGCCTGTCACTTCAGACACACTGTGTGCAAATTAACGCTGCTGATGCAAGAAACACAACCTGCCCGCAAGCTTAGCCTCCAGCTGCAGTGAAAAGCTGCCCATCCGCGACACATTAGATCTTTTATTTTGAAGCTCTCCCTTCAATATCTCGGCCGTAAACTTTGAGCTAACCCAGTTAGGCACGTAAACATTTCCAGCCTGCGTAACCTGTGCGCACCGCCCGGGCTGATAGTTTGAGGCGCATAAACGCCCAGCACTGACATGTATTATGAGAGCATAAATAACGAAACGGAGAATTAGCGTGAGAATGAATCCTGGTCTCTTGTTAGCATCTGGCCATCCCCAGAACTTATTTTAAAACGCGCTGGGAGCTAAATGCAGGGTGCAGACATGGTTTGCATTGTAATTAGACCTACAGGAACACATGCGAGGCAGCCCTGTTGTTTTTACATTTAAATCTACAGCGGTCCTCATTCAGTTCGCCAAACAAATGGGGCTCAAATGTGTCAAAAGCGGAGAAGTTGGGGGTAGACCCAGCCAAGTCTAGCTAGCTCGCTAACAAAGAAAAAGGAGGAACCTACCACGTGACGAGGTTGCACTATCCGAGGGAATTTCGGCAACAATCCCCTGCAGTTTCTGGTGGAAAAAAATCCAAGGGTGCTAACACGCACACACACGCACAAAATGTGGCGCGTTGACTCGATCACTCAGCCATCAATTAATATCCATAAAATAATAAATGCAACCAGAGAGCGGAGGAAAAGGGGCCCGGGTCCACAGCGCAGAGCCGCTCGGGTTCGTTCCGGATACAGCAATGGGCGAATCAACGAGCTACACCTTACTCGCCAGCTAGCCTCGCCGAATATAAGGGCAAGGCCGCGAAACCGTCCTTTCTACTCCAAATTACTTCAAACGTAGGCGATTTCACGGCAATCCTTTACCGAAAAGTCCGATTCCCGGTGAGGAAGAGGTAATCCAGACGGCAGTTTGCCGCGAGCCGTTTTCTCTCGTTTTAGGGAGAGACGCTTAGAAAATGGCGGCTAGCTCCTCTCCCTCGGATTTGACTCTGACAAACATAGAAGTGCTGCGCGCGCGCGTGAGTGTGTGCGTATGTGCTAGAGCTGGTAGGCGGGAGACGTTTCTCATAGTCACCACTAGAGTAAAGGGCAGATAAGAAACGGCATAAAAGCTCAAAAGAAGATCCCACAGGAGGGCATTGTCTTCCAAAAAAGATACCAGCGGACACACACTTTTATTTTCTTGCTGTACTGGTTCCGCGACCGCTGCTGTTTCTGGTTAAACACGCCATATCTATGCTCCTACTCCAACGGTACACACAGAAAATACCCCTTATGCTTCAAAGACCACCTGTGCGCTAAATATTTACGCGGAAAATCAACAATAACTAACAGGAACGAGGACTACAGCCGGGATCTGCTCCCCTAAGCAGCTATTTTTTGGAAGAATTTGTGCAAACAGAGCCTGCGCCTCTTGTCACTTTTTAACAGGAACAGGATCGCCCACAAACACCACACTACACTACACACAACAAGCTTCATGACGAGGTGCAGCCAGCGGCCACATGAAGGAGCTCTTCTCCACAGTGCTGCGTGTAATAAAATAATAAAAGCCTCACGCTGTGCCCAAACATAGCGCCAACTACCTCCAAACAAGAACAAACTAAGCTAAAACTATAAGGGAATCAATTTAACTCATCAGTCTTAAATGTTTATGTTTAGTGTCAAGTGTTACTGGCCGCATGAAGGAGATCTTCCCCACAGAGCCGCGTGTGAACCTTCATATTGTGCAAAAAACAGCGCCAACTATGTCCGAACAGGCATAAATGAAACAAAACTCAGTTAATGAATATGTCATTCTTAGCAAAATGTTAGGTCAACAAGAAATAAAGTTTCTAAAAAGTTTGTGTATTTTAACCCTATTTATTATAATTTTATTATTTATTAATATATTTATTATAAATATCTACAGTGCTAATTAGATTATTATTACTATGCATTATAATGATTTATTATAATGCATTCTAGTGGCAGATATTTTATTTTTCACCATCTAATTTGAGCAATTTATGACCAGAAAGTTCTGTACTGAGCCACAATACATATTTAATCCTTATAATGAAGGCGACACAGCCTGTTAAGTATCAATTAGTCTGACAACATTATAAAAACGTACTTTCTATGGCATGTTTTAAAACACTTACTTTTCTTTAGAACAGTCTCATGTTTTTGTTGCATTTATACTGCTATCTTTTTTTATTAGCCGCAAAACAAAACTGCAGGATAAAATATATACAAGCATGTTTAAGGCTAAAAAAGTTGCTATAATATACTCTGACTCCTACCTGTGTTTCTGTGAAATTTTTCAATTGTTGCCTAATAGATTTAAAAAAAGAGACCTTTTATTAAAAGTTTTTAATAAAAAGTGACGTTTTCATTTTATTTTGACTGATGTCCAGATGCAGATGAAGCATTTGGGAGGGCCTGGATCACAGGAAGTCTTTGTTATTATAGACAAACCTCTTATTACTTTGTATTATGGAAAACCGATTCTGAGGGGATCAGACCAAAAAAAATGTTCACATCTGACTGATTTTTAATGAAAAGATCATCATGTGGATGGGTGACAAATTAAAGGAAAAATGCAAATCCCTGACCTCAGTAATGAGGGGGGATGTGGTTGCTGGGAAGTTGTAAAGGGGAGTGGGGACTAACAGAGTTATCATCTTATTGTAAGATAAAGTCAGTCTTATCAGTGTTTTGTATCCATGCAATGCTTTAAGTTCAAATGCTATGAGTTATTTTTTAGGCCTCAAAATTGGCCTTTGGAGGGCGACCTCACATGCAAGCATGACTGGCCCACATTTAGTAGGAATTTTCCTACAAATAACAAAATACTGACACCCACCAAAGAGCTTCTGTTTCTTAAAGAAGATTTTTGCAGAGGTTTAATGAACTCGAGCTTGTTTCTTAAATGGCCATACATAACATAACAAAGACTACTTCCCTTAGCTAAATGTGCATCAGTCATGCTTACGGGTGTAGTCAAACCCAACAGAGGCCCCTTCTGAACTAGGAAAAACCCTCTGCATTACCTTAATTAGTGATACTCAAGCCCCCCTTTTTAAAATAGTATTTTTATTGTATTTTATTTTTTTATTATTTTGCCTTTAAAAATTGTTTTTTTAAAAATTGGATAGTGAAGAAAGACGTGTCAGCAGTTTGGACTCGAACCCAGGCCACTGTTTTCTGCTTTCAAAAGCTTTTGCAATTTAAGGTAAGATTTAAACAGGTATATACCTGATCAAATAAGTAAACAAATTTCCCCACCTGTGGGACTAAAAGTTTATCTTATCTCATCTAACAAATTGTACTTCCTTCTTCTTGACCTAATTTTGCATATTGCACAATTTCTTTTCATTTTTATTTTTAAGAGATGAAGTAGCAGCTGGGTTGAAGGCTAGCTTATTGGCTACTATTTGCAGCGATGCTGACTGACATCCACATCAATGGAAAAATAAACAATTAATATTTGCCACTGAACAGCTTGTTTCTAAACATTTACATTGTCATTTTGATTTTTTTCCCAGGCTTAATTGTGTCTAAATTGTATTGAGGCTACACACTGAGATATCATTTATCTATTTTTGAATGATAAACCTGAACATCATGTAGCTTCAAATTAATTGAATTTTTGTTTATCATATGAAGGTATTTTAAGCACGGCTCTAGCACAGTGAGTATGTTAACCTAATTTTCTTGGATGGACTTCAAGTTACATTAGGCACAACTTTAATTGAAAAATATGCCCTGTGTTTTGTTGAAATTGTTTAAAAAGTAATATCAGATTCAAGTTTCTCTTTCAAACACTATTTATGGGTTTTATTTTTTATTTTTTGCTAAGGGAGGCTACTTTTCTGCAGCTACTCGCCCATCACTAGATGATCATACTGTTACTCCAGTGTCTCTTGCTTGTCTGGTTTATCTTCTTTGACATTTAAATAAACAACTTTTAATAACATCCTGTGCACTAGAAGATAATCCTATAAACGACTCGTTGCACACTGACAGCCATTTTCCCACACTAAAAGAGAAATTCAACGTAGTTCTCTACTGAGAAGTGTTTTCGTCTACAAACCCGAGCTGAGATGTTTACAAAGTTACATTATATCCTCTCTTGTCTCACTACCATTTAAGCCCACTATTAAATGAAAATGGAAAAAAATATGTGATTTTAGATTGTTTCAGTACCTCTGATCTCCTGATGCTTGTTAAGTATTAAAAATTCTATTCTAACAGGTCTTGCATGGCCTCTGAGCATAATCAGACTACCAGAAAGGACATGCATTATAAACACTTCATTATCTGTGTGTGTGGAAATCAGAGGGAGGAAGAAAGCGCTTTACACAACCTGTCATCCACACACTGGTGATGGCAGCTACATTGCAGCCACAGCCACCCTGGGGCGCACTGACAGAGGCGAGGCTGCCGGACAGCTGCCGGACAGCTGCCCTCTGACCACCACCACCAGTAGGCAACGGGTGAAGTGTCTTGCCCAAGGACACAACGACCGAGACTGTCCAAGCTGGGGCTCGAACCGGCAACCTTCCGATTACAAGGCAAACTCCCAACTCTTGAGCCACTCCCAACTCTTGTACAGTGAAGCAGGGGTATACTTCCATTTAACTCTTGCAAATTACTTTAATAAAATAAAGATATATACCTTGTCATTTCTTAAGAGAAAAAAACGTTGTTGGCTTCAATCTCTGATCATTTCTGGATTTTCTTTTCTTTTATATTAAAGACTATCATTTTCAAAAATGTTTGTTGTTTTTATAAGAATATTACACTTTTTACAAACATAACTTTTTCAGTGAACCAGTCTTGTCGCTAGTTTCATTTCTGAGAATTTCTGCATTTTTTTTCTTGAAAATTTGATTGCCATTTCTTATTGATTTACCACAGTAACTTTTAAAAGTGTGATTTTCACCTCCTAATATTACTTCTTTCCTTTTGTTGTTGCTTTGTATTAACCTAAAATGACCCCCGCAGGTCTTCATGGGACGTGAACGAAAAACATCACAGAAACAAAACAAACCGATTTGTGACTGTTATAACTGGCAAATACCCATCCATCCATTTGCTCTTGCTCCAGGTTACAGCTGATGCAAAGATGTCTCAACTTCCTTGTGCTCCTCCTAGGTGATCCCTTCAGACTTCAAGGATATGTAATCCATCCCACTTGACCAAAATACATCCACAGGGACATGTCCACAGAGTATGCTAATCAGTTGCTCTTCACACGGGTGCTCAAAATCCAGACTACTTATATCCCTGATGTGATCTTTTCTCCAAGGCCATTGGGTGGCTGCAGCACCCCCTGGCTTTAAAATAAAGGTAAATGCATATAACAATTATACCTTTAACTCCATTGTCGGTGAACTCCAATCAATAATCCATGGGATCATTTTCCCAGTTTCCACACATGAAAATATGACACCTAAAATGAAACAAATAAAATAAAAAATAAGATTACTTGAATCATATTTAAAATTTTCAGACAATACATTTAACTATGATGGCGTAGTAGGAAAAGATAGAGGGTTAGGTGATGCGCAAGCTGTAACTCTTGTGGAATTTTTTGTTTGTACATGTTGCAAGTTACAGATATATAAGCTACTATCAGCTGCTCCCTTAATTCACAAGGCCCTTGTTGGACCATGTTGTTGATTTGGCAGATTTTACTTTTTATTTTACTTCAGTTCTTATGCTGATTGCCAATCCTGATGCTATAGAGAAAGAAAATTCGAACGGGCAAAAACAATTACATGAGTAAATCGATATCAGCACATTACACTAACTAAAAAAATTGTAAATTTACAAGAAAAAAAAGGGGGGGCAAATTTTTGAGGAAAAAAATAGCAAACTTTGGAAAATTGCCCAGTGGAAAATGGAAAGAACAACCCTTGAATTTAGGGGCAACTTAACATAAAGAACAGCTAATTTACATGACAAACGTGGGGCTAATTTCTGAGAAAACGAATGCAAATTAAAGAAGGGAAAAAAGGAATATATACAAATAAAATTTATAGCAAATTTAAGTGGAAAAAAACGCAAAATTAGGGTTAATTGCAAATCTGGCACAATTAAAAAATGTAACAAACAAACAAAACTGAAAAATAAAAACAATGCCAGGGTTATATGAAAAACGAGGCGCAGTGTACGTAAAAAATAAATAAATATAAAATTGGCACTGTATGAGAGCGAAGCGGGACGTCAGTATACATGACGT